ATAAACATGGAAGTTGACCGATGTTTGCTTTATTTAAATATGTATTTATCTCTACATTAACTATCAAACCAAGGACAAATATGGAGGAGAACATTCTCCGGAATAACTTCAGTGAACAAATACGCCAATAATACTGTTAAATAGAGGCAGAACATACCAGGGTGTAACTCTCCTCATCCGACTCTGGCTGCGACAGGTCAGACTCACTCCTGGACTTGATCAGCCTGTAACTCGGACTGTTCTGCACCGAGCGGCTCTCCGCGCTCAGACTCTCACTCCTACACACAAACACACAGCACAGCAGCCACAATGACAATACAATACATTAATGCTAGGCTAGGTGCAACTAAACCAGTGAGAGCCCAGTGTTCTGACCTGGTCATGAAGCTCAGACACTCGTTCGTCCCTGAGGTGGATTTGGTCGGACCCTCCTCCTGGTTCTGTTTGCTCAGTTCACAGAGCACTGGACTTACACCGAGCAGCAGCAGAGCGCACCTGTGGATCACCGAATTACAGGCTGCCGTGTACAGGTCCTGTCCCTCTGGGAGAGCGGCGTCGCCCAGCCTCCTCTCCTGGGACAGAATAGTGTCCTCTTCTGCACCACTTCCTACTCCTCCTGCTCCTCCTCCTCCACTCCTGGAACCTGAGGTTGAGCCCAGGCCGGTGCAGCTGCTCGCCCGCTCCCTGTCTCGGCTGCGAGCCACGTCCCGCGCTGAGAGGAAACATTGAAAGATTTCTGTGTTGTGCGAAGTGCGCACACGAACACACACAAAAACAAAGTGCACAGTCAGAGGTCAAGCAGCGGCCAACGGGATTTTTCTTTTAAAATCACATGTTAGGTCAGAGCACAGTGACTGGACCGCAGGTGGACATCAGTTAGTCACAGGTCACACCCCTCAACATGCCTCCACTCCTGGCTTCGTCTGTGACCACCTTTAAACCGATCTCATCTCTCCGTGCTACACTAACGTACAGCCATGTTGTATATGTTGGGCAATACATCTAGTTTCAACAATATATCAATATATATTTATATAGCGCAGAGAATCAGAGTATAAAGCGCAGAGAATCAGAGTAAAAATATATGCAGACATCTGCAGACACTTACTTCCTGCTGTCATCACTTCATGTTGCTCCTCCTCTTCATCTTGTTCCTGGTGGCCCTCTTCTCGCTCCCGGCCGGTTCTCTCTTCGAGCTCTGCCTCCTCATCGATGGTACGTGTGAAGGAATGTTCCTGAGGGTCCAGGTCCAGAGAATCCTGATTGTCTGAGTTCTGAGAGAAGAGTCAAGAAAACAGTGAAACCCGACTGACATTTGGTTGTTTTTGTTTAGTGTTTACAGGCTGCGTGATCTTACCCTCCTCTCACGGGAAGACGATCTAGTTTGGATGAAGTCCATGTTCTTACAGGCCAGCAGACGGTTCCGTACTTTGTAAACACTACGATAAACCTCAGCCAGAGTCTTGGATGGTTGGTATCTGACAATTCATGTTGCAGAAATAAAAAATAAGGCTTACATTGGTATCAGCTGATATCGGGATCGGAAATTTAGTTTGGACAATATCGGCATATCACCAAAAACCTATTTGGTCATTGTATACAGTACATACATCAATACAGAGCATATTCAATGACTTTGCTAGTTTTCAAGTCTCTGCTTCTTCAGCAGCAGTAATCAATACTGCGTTATATAAATCAATAAAAAACAACATGGATTTAAGTCATATTTCGATTTGAGGCCAATCCTCACTGAGTTTCACTCTGGTCTTACAGAGAACTCAGAGGAACTGATGAGCTGATCTGACAGAACGGGTAGGAACACAGAACCAAGATGAACGTATACTGGATGGAATCTGTAATGAGTACCATACCTGCCCTCTCCACAGGCCTGGCTCAGCAGACCGCTGTGCTTCAGTAAAGCTGCCAGCACAAACCTGGACACGGTGTCCAACAGAGACTCGTTGCTGATAGAGGCATTGTCCCAGTCTGGAGAAGTCAGAAGACATATTCATCAATAAACTTCTAATAAAGAGGAGAACAGCTCTGCACATATGTAGAACTCCTCCAAACACAGACCTTTGCTGACAGCGTAGTCCTGCATGTTGATCCACAGGCTGTTGGCAGGTTCTTTACAGGAACCCAGAGCCAGGTCCACCAGCATGCTCAGGTCCGGACCCAGGGTGCAGTCAAACGGCTTCTGCTCCTCATTTCCACAAAGAGCCGCCTCCAACAGGGAGCTGATGGATGAATCTGAGGAACAGTCGGAACAACGGACTATAACACAGAACCTCGGTGCACAAGGTTCTACTTATAACAAGGCAACATCGGCCAACCGATATTATCGGCCCAATATCAGCGTAATTATGTAATATCTGTAAGAATCATTATCGGTTTTACCTCCAATACTGAAAACCTGATCATGCAATGCCTGGGTTTCCCCACATGATGTGTGCCATAAAAATAGTCTTGGGGGAAAATGGCTGTATATGCTAATTTTATTAATCTATTTTAATAATCAGGGGATTGTACGCTGGTGTCAGAAACTCTTACAGTGGTTTGTACAGACTCATTAACTCATGAACCAGGTCAGAGTGTGCGTTTCCTACCCATCTGAGGAATCTCTGTTTCAAGGCCGTTGTTAAAAAGCGGTGTTTTGAGCCAGTAGGCAGTGTCCTGTTCCTCCAGAGAGGTGCAGGCTCCCTGAAGCATCCCACCGAGACATCGTCCAATCAGCAGAGCAATCGTCCTCTCCAGGTCCACCAGCCACACCCAGGACAGAGCAGGCTGAGGCAGGGACATTCCAGGCTCAGCAAAGTCAGATGTACCTGGACAGACGAAGACATTCTTCAGATCCTTAATTCCTGGTCCAGAATATGAAGGTGGTTAGGGATTGAAAAAAACAAAAAACAAAAACAAGATTTTCAGAGCTCACCGTGAAGAGGCCACTGCAGCTCCTGGTCCTCCAGAGGATAGGCAGCAGGAAGGAGTCTGTTCAGCCGGTCGAGAGGAGGAAGGAGGTCCAACAGGTGGTTCAACAGAGGCCTCGCAACAGACACAGGAAGCAGCAGCAAAGAGTTGATGATCTGACACAGCATGCTCCCCGCTGCCGACACAAATATCACATCTGGAAATAACAGAAACACAACAAACATGAAAAAAGGTTTTTTTATGTAATGATTTTCAAATGTTGCTGTTAAATATTAACAATAAAAATACCAGGGTTTTTTGACTCAAATACTTGCAAATATATGCAATATAAATGCAACACAAAAATGAACCAACGGCATGAACATTTGCATGTTAATTGTTAATAAAAAAATATATACAGCGCTGAAGAATATCGATACAGTACTGTGAAACAAAATATCACAATATTTCAGCATATCAATATTTTCTTACACCCCTACGATTAAAGGAGGTTACACGGCACATAGCGTCTGCACCTCTTAGTTTTTCTTGTATGCTGCCGTTACAGGAGCTCTCCTTAATCAGTGTGGCAGAGCGGGAGAAGATGTCTGTGGCGTGAGGAAGCAGCAGCTGAAGGTGTTTGTGGAGCAAAGCCACACTGCTGGAGTTCTGCAAAGAACAAAAGGCACGCAGACACGTATGAAATAGGATTTTTTTTAAAAAGTCTATAATTTTGGTCGAAATAACAACTGAGTGATGAATGAACCACCTACCTCAGTGACTGCGTTGATGTGGCAGTAGGCTAACAGCTGCTTCTGCAGAGAGCAGAGCAGCTGGTGAAGGTGGGCCGGCTGGCTGCTGTCAGAGGACGACGTGCCAGGCTGCAGTTTGTCGCTGTTCTTCTCCAGCTCCCCAAACGCCTGATCCTGTTCAAGAAAAAGAAACAGAAATGGTTGGACTGGTATAGTCTGGTAGTAGATTTGCTGATGATGGTATTCACATCAGTATCAGGTCGACTCTGTGACTGCAACTCCATGCAGATCCAAAGGCAGCCCAACAGACCGATATTGTAAAACCGTACAATGATTTTCCGTGTCCTCCTTACAGTGTAAAAGCCCAGGTTCCTGAGCAGCGTCTTCATCAGGATCTCAGCCAGGTGTGTGTCCGGATGTCCTGCTGTGGCACTGAAGGCCAGGTCTGGGGAAGCTGAGAATCCCAGGCCAGAGGACAGCACCTCAGGGCCATCAGCAGGAGAGCTGTAGCCCAGCAGTGAGGCCACGTGGGTGTGGTCCTGGAGACTGGTCAGAATGATGTCCAGCTGCATTCTCTGTGGCAGAGGAACAGACATCGATGGAGTGAACGGGTCGTCAGGCCGCATACAGCCGGGACACAATTGGAGCAGCACATGTATAAATATACACATATACACACTAATACACACACCACAATTGGAGCAGCACATGTATAAATACACACATATACACTAATACACACACTATATACATATATAAATATATGTGTATATTCTGTACTAAAACATCAACACAGAGCATATTGAATTACCGTACTTTGCCGCTTTTTTTTTTTTTTTTAATCAAGTCAGTGCTTCTTCAGCAGTAGTAATCAATACTGCGTTATATGAAGTGTGACCTAACACTCAGTACCTGGCCTTTAGACAGACTCTCCCATCTGTCAGGACCCTGAGGCAGCAGGGAGTGAAGGAGCTCCATCCTCTCCCTCAGAGGAGGCAGCAGCATGGTGGCTCCCACAGAGAGTGTCTCACGCTCCGCCTAAACACACACACACACAAACACACACAACACAGAAGCACAGATACATACAGGAGAATGCATCATGTCATGTGTTTTATAAACAAAAGTCCAAGGAAATTGAAAATTTTCCAGTCATGAAACAAAGCATGAAAAAAAAGTCCCATCAACCTCAATTACACAGCAATTATAGGCATTTTCCAGAGTTCATAAAACACAAACGAGGGTGACTCTGCAGTATTGTTTGTGTGTAAAGAGAACTAAATCCTTCTAAGTAGATTAAAATACTACTGAATACTGCAATACTACACAATAAAGAGTCTAAACATGGAACCTCTGTTCATCAAAACAAAACAAAAACACTGACATATATTTTATCTCACTGTTAAAACCTCATGTGGCTCATGTTTTTAAGAAAACAAACAACCACGAACATCCAACAGTGACGGAGTAAAACACACCACTGCTCCACCGTACCACTATGGTTGTGGTTTTCAGTATGGCGACAAAGTTACATGTGGAAATTATCATCTCTAACCTCTTGGATTTCATCTGGAACAGACGAGTCCATCAGTCTGAAGAGCAGGTTCCTCAACGGCCTCGCCTGTCGACCCAAAATACTGGTGGCCACGCCTCCAGCCAGAGCCAGAGCCAAATGATTGGACAAGAGCCGAAGGCACAATTTAAGAAAGCTATGATGTTCCCTGCAACGATTTAGAACAAGATATGACAAAATGAGTTTTGACCAGCATTGACTATAGACTATAGGAATAAGAGAGAGAAATTAGGAACCAAAGTAGCCACCAGGTGGCAACACGCAGAGATGTTCCAGTCAGTAACAGTTAAATAAATGTTTCTCCTGTTTTCCTATTATTAATTTTATTATATAAAATATGATCTAGTTCATTAAAAACGAAGACAAAGGACAAGACATAAAACTAACACACTGTGGCTAAAAGCTAGTGCCTGGCTGCAGTATAGGTTGCAGGTTGAAACCCTGTCGTGGCTCTGGTCAAACCTTTGGTTTCATCTAGTCCACTTTCAATCAATCATTTAACACAATTCTTCCTTTTACTGCCGTCGTGTTCTCACCTGGAGGAGGGGAAGGGAAGAGGAGGAACTTCACTGTTGATGCCGTCACAGTAGCGTTCCAAGAAGGAGCGCAGGTGAGAGAAAGTGCTTTCTTCAAGGTCGACACAGTAGGGTCTGTGCCACGCCACCACCTGTCTGAAGAGCAACAGGAGAGAAGACTGTATTTTAAATAAATAAATAAAGTTTAGTTCAACATTTTAAATAAATAAATAAATAAATAAAGTTTAGTTCAAGAGTTTTTTAACCTGTAATGTTATATTATCTTCTGCATTTGACAATTGTTACACATTCCCCATCACACACACACACACACACATTCAGACCTCCTCCGCCGACTGACCTGTCTCTGGGCAGTGCCGTCCAGGCCAGACTGTGAGACGTTCCAGCTGAGATCTGCTGCACAGCCACTCCGTCCAGACCCACCACCTTCTTGGGCTTGGTGATTGGCCCCGTTGAGTTGCCCTGACCACACTGGCCCATGGAGTTGTTGCCCCATGCGTATACTTCATTGTCTACAGTGAGCAGAGAACAGCGATGATCAGCGGTTAGGGACATCATTAACACCACCGAACCCAGACGTTCTGTGGTCAGCAGACCGGACGAGGCCGCAGCAGCACGTGTTCACCCTCAGCATGAATGACAGGTCTGGGCAGGAACGTACCGTGAGAGAGGGCCAGGCAGTGGCTGTCCCCGATAGAGATGTCCACCACTCTGGTGGTGGCCAGCTCCTCTATCAGTTTAGGACGGAGTGCTGTGGCCTCAGAGGAGCCGCAGCCGAGGCAGGCCCCGCAGCCCCAGGCATACACCTGGAAACATCAACATCATGAAGATATATATAGAAAAAAAAAACTGTATGTGCAGTATGGTCCATTCAACACCCACAAAAAAAAAGAATTCACACCTAAACACAAAGAAGTAAGAAACATTCACACCAATATTCACACCTACAGTCAAATAAGGTCGTCTGAACCGACTGTTTCACTGAACAGGAGGACACCAGCTACAAACACAGTCTGAACGACTGAAACATGAATCGACTCAGTGTCGAGAGAATCCAAGAAAAGAAATGGAAGAAACAACGCATTTGTCTACAACTAACCAAGCTAATCAAGCTAACTACAGCTGACGTGTCATATCCTACCTGTCCAGTGGAGGTCAGTGCCAGTGATGACTGGCTTCCTGCACACACTTTTCTGATGAACATCCCCTGAAGGGCCTCCACCACCTTTGGCTTGTAGACCCTGTTGGTGTCACCGTGACCCAGTTTTCCTGTGGAAAAAAGACTGGAGTTTTCCTCTGACCAACGTCTGTGGGTATTTACATTCAAGTAATGGGCACATATATTCACCTAAGTAATCATTTACCAAAAAGTAAATAATACACAAACACACTGCTGAGATATTGAATTATTCCAGCATGTTCTTGGAAGGTTGTTTCACCTAAACCATCATCAGAAACATACCATTGTCTCCGCCTCCAAACGACCACACGGTGCGTCCGTCCTTCGACAGTGCGATGGTGTGGGAGCTGCCACAGGAAACCTCCCCCACGTTGCTAATGTCCTTAACTACTGTAGGAATGTTTCTGCTGTTGCTGTCGCCGTGACCTGCAGGAGCAGGCAGGGAACAGCTGATTGGTTGGTTATACATCAAGGTCAACAACTTTGTGCAATGGTTTCTTTTCGGGTTCCAAAGTGCGACAGAGATCTTTGGTAATCCTTTTTGCGAAACCTTTGACACGACTGGGACATGAGTGAGTTCAGGACAGGTTGGCTTTAATTGTGTCTCTCTATGCTGTGGCTGTTGACTGAGTGTCCATCACTAGTTAAAATGTCAATTAATTACCCTATAGCAGGGGTGTCCAAAATACAGTCTGTGGGCCAAAACTGTCCCACTTGGTGGTTCAATACGGCCCTCATGATGAATGTTGAAACACTTGAATGTTACAGACATTTTGTCAAATAATTTATTAAATATAATGCAAACTACTAATTTGCATCAAAACAATAGTTAATTATATTGTGATTGTACTGGTCCAGCCCACTTGAAATTTAATCGGGCCGTATGTGGCCCATGAACCAAAATTAGTTTGACAGCCATGCCCTATAGGACATTTGTCTCGGCTTCAAACGCCATACAACCTCCAGCGTGAGTTTTTATTTTTTTTATATTTTTATTCTGTATCTGTTTTTTGATCATGTCTCATTAAAGTATCCGACCTGAGTTCAGAAACGTACCTAATCTTCCGAAGTCTCCTTCACCCCATGTGTAGAGCTCTCCATCCTCACTGACTGCTGCACTGTGTCTGTAGCCTGCAGACACACAGACGACCACCTGAGGAAAAACAACACACACACAGGGTCAACAACACGGTCACAAAAAAGGAACAGAAGAAACTTAAAATGGAGAATATGTAGCTAAAAAGAGTGGAATGTGTGGAATTTCATCAGGTAAAAAAAAACAAACATGCTAAGACAGTGGCTGAGACTTTACCTTCCCCTGCAGGGGCCCCTGGATGAGCTTAGGGTACTTTTGTGTGGAGCTGTTCCCGTGACCCAGTTTTCCATAATCACCGTCACCCCAGCTGAACACCTCACCCTCTGTTGTGAAAGCTAAAGTGTGACCATCTGAGCCCTTAGAGGATGACACCTTCTTGATGGCACGGTGGGGTTCAAAGGTCAGCTTCTTAAGTGTTGACTGGTTGTTGGAGTCCCCGAGGCCCAGGCGGCCGTAGCTGCCTTTACCGCAGGCCCGAACGGAGCCGTCAGAGGAGATGACGAAGGTGCAGTACTGGCCTGCCTCAATCTGGTGGAAATGAAGTTTTAGGGTTAAAAACGATGACCACTGTGTGAAGACACGTTTACTGTGTTTACTCTGCTCCCCCTTACTGTCTGAGCATCTGCAAAACTGGCAGCAAGCTTGGGCTGAAGGATCTTCTCCTGTGTCCCCTCCACGAGCTGATGGCTACTGTTACTGCCCCACACGTACACCTCACAGGTCTCCGACACCACAGGGGCCTCGCCAGTCTGGATGCTGTCAGGGCTGACACAGGTGCGAGAGTAGTCCGAAGCCATTCTGCAGACCTGCGGCAGAAGAGTGTTTATTTTAACATAAACGTAAGTTTATCGCTGTTGTTTTACAAATATCCTGTCCCATTACTCGTCACATGTCTAGGAATTATTAAATGAACTCTTCAACTTACTTCTTCAAACAGGCAGAGTGCAGCCTCATAGAGTGAGCAGAGGCCGTCGGGCGTCCGTGTGGGTTCTCTCCACTGGCTCCGATCTGCTGACGAGCCCTAAAATGTCACACAACAAAACACACAACATTACACAGTGGGCCATTGGCATGGGTCACATACAATATAATATACAGTGTACAGTTACAAAAAAAACCATATATACAGTAATACCCCTCACCACAGAGGGCACTATTTGACAATCACAGTGAACTAATCAATTATGTTTTAAATATTAATCTGATAAAGTAACTTAAACCAAATCTGCTGATAAATGCAGTACATTAAGATGACTGCTATTCTGATGTCACACACCGGAACAGCAATTAGCATATAAGCTAAAATAAATAAATAAACAAACTAGAGTAAAAACAACATATCTTTTCTGTCTGTCTTAACAGTTTGTACTCAGAAACATTTAATTGCCCTCTTAAGTCTTACTTCATGAAGGTCACTTCATGCACTACTTCTACGTCCATTAGCAAAAGCTACGGATGTAACGAATAAAGAGTTGCATAGTCATTGTTGATCGTGTGTGTGTGTGTATGTGAAGTTACTCCGCTGTCAATATGATGACGTCAGTGAATTAAAGCAAACAGGTCTGTTAATCAATTGAAGATCACTACAGATGTATAATGGATGACTGATGTGCTAAGATGACCACGTTTCTTTGTGGTCTACACTGAAGTCTATGCTCTTAGAGACAGAGAGCCGGTGGTGTGATACTGCAGTAAACTTGGCGATTTTCTCCAGAACGTGAAATTTCTTATGGATATTAAAACACATAACACCTTTAACCAAACCATTTAACACAGGACTTTTATGGCATCATTCAACCCAGGCTCATTTTACTCTGCGTGAAGAGAAGCCTAAAGACATGACCCCAGTTAGAATCGGGTAAAAATCTGTACAAATCCGTGTCTCATCGGTTAAATTACAAAATGAATTGCTCACCAAGGCATCAGTCGTATGCTGCGATACCGCAAAGAGTCACTGGTCATACCATACCACGTGCATTTTTGGTATTTTGTTATTTAAGATAACTATAGCGTATGAGGTTCACAAGACCATTTCAGTTGTGATGGTATTTTGCATAGTTTTTACAAACATTTTGATTTAATCTGTTCGCAACTCATTTTGTTAAAAACAATCATGATAAGACAAAGAATTGTGAATCATATCGTGTCGTGAGTTGAGTGTATCGTTACAGCTCTAGTTTTGATGAGATTTAACCTTGTGCGGCCATTATTGTCATGGGATTTGGTCACTATATAACAACTAATCAAGGAATTATGTAAAGCCTGGGGCAAGTTTATGCAAAAGATATATTACTGTGATGAGCAACAAATTATTTCCTGTTGACTTATACAAAACTAAATGTTCAAGTCATGTTAGAGTCAGTACACATACATTATTATTACAGCGTGAATATTGACTTACCAGAGAGCGTCTCATCTGCATCAGGATGTTAACAAAACAATCATAACTAATGAGGCCCTCCTGATCCTGGAGCCCCTTGTTCTGGTCCAGGCTACTGACCACAGCTGCTGCTGCCAACGCCATCTCTATCCACTCCAGTAGATAGCGCAAGGATCCCCTCTGAGAAGCCAGGCCCAACAAAAGCTCTGAAGCAAGTCGTCGACCCAAAATATCTGCCCCAGAGTTTGGCATAGTCACCCCTTTAAGAAAGGTGGTGACCTGGGCCAGACAATCAAGGCCCATTGGCGGAATCTTACTCTCGTTGGCCAGTGACAGGGGTGGGAGGGAGCTAACCACATCGATGGCTGTGTGGATGACATCATTACACAAGTTTATGGTGCCCACAGGTCCCCCACCCGGGCAAGGTTGGGGAGGCATCATCCAACTCTGGCGCAGCAGGGCAAAGAGGAGGCTAAGGCCTGTACGAACCCCCATCTCGATGAGGGCGTCGGTGCTGGAACGCGGCCGCTCGCTAACCGAATGCAGATCAGCCGCGCCCGAGTTGTTCTCTGGAGAATGCGGCTGCTGCTTGACCTTTCCTTTATCGTGGTACTTGTTGGAGAGTGCATAGAAGATGCGCTGGAGCACCAGCACGCGTTTTCGTAGTGCTGCCGCAAACGGCGAGTCAGAGCAGACCATCTTGGCCAGCGCCAACTGGCTGTTGAGCAGAGCGTCCAGATAGTGTTCCTGCTCATCGCTGGAGAGAGACTCGCGCTCAAAGTCAGGAAGCTGGGGGCCCTTCAGACACAGCACCTGCTGGGGCAACAGCACCACCTCCTTGTTGGCCAGGAGTTTGGAGTAGAGCACCGTGACTCCCTCCCGTGTCGCTATCGACTCGCTGTCCTCGGTGATCCATGAGCTGTTCAGGTGTTCCAGCCATTTGAGTTTCACTGGCGGGATCATTAAAGCCATGGCATGTCACTCTGGAGCCATTAGTCCTGGAAACAAGTACGACACAAGCATTTTCATTAAAATCATTATTTTAATTTAGACTTAACTGTGTTATTAACTTTGACCATCGTCGTCCAAAAAGACCAGTTTATAAGAAAAAATATATATGAAAATTCAAACTGGCAATAAAGATAAGAGAAAGCGGCAACACATACAATTCCAAGATAAAAATTCTTTTAAAGTGTTTTGAAACACGGCCATCATATCTGTGCTTTCAATAGAGTCAGTAGTTCGTAATTACTAACGCGGTCTGTTCTGCACATCAGTCAAACGTGTATTGTATATCACAAGCAGAACAAATACTTTTAACCATTACATCATCTCATTAACATGGTGATGTTGACAAGGTTTGCTATAACTGCATTTACTATCGACCATCACGTTGTGTGCACAAAGAACACATTGTCTGTAGTAAGTGCACAGGATTACCTAACACAGAGTTGACTGCGGTCGCTTACAATTTTTTCCGCTTCAAAAATTGCTATGTCATGACAGAATGCAACCAATAACAAAAACTACACTTAACCTTTTAATGATACATATCTATATCAATGGTGTTTGTTGCCTGAGATACAGCGACTGGGTCAGTAAAAGTCTTACATGGACCAACAGCAGTGTGCAACATGGTCAACATAGAAAATATGCAAGAGATCGAACAGTTGTAGAGATAAGACTGCAATCACTCTGAATCAACTAACTGAATAAACTCAATTACAGTCGTAAACAAGGTCTCATTCTGGATAACCTCAGTTTAAGTACAAAAACACACTTTTACATAGTTCACATTTGTACAACGTTTACATATACATATATATATATATATAGTGTTTATATATACATAAATTAAGTGTTTGGACAACATCGGCATCATATACATATATATATACATATACATATATATACATATATACGTATATATATATATATATATATATAAGTGTTTATATATATATAAATTAAGTGACAACTTGAGATGCATATCAGATATCGGCAAAATGTTAATATAGGAGGTGGTAAAACCATGAGTGAATCCCTGGTACTGACAGGTGAGAGGCTAAACGTAAACCTGGAACACTGACAACTTGAGATGAAATCACGACATACTTAAGATCATTATTACAAAAGCAAAACAGTGCTTAGTTAGGTAACGGTCAGAATTAACACAATAATTGTTGAGACTTTTCTATAAAGTCCATTGAAAGGTAAAGCGAGGTGATGCATTTATGTGACACGCTGCTCCTTGTTCAAGAAAACACGTAACTTTTACGGTATTTAATAGAAAACACACCGTTATTATAGCTGCTTCTACTTGCGCACACCTGCACGGACAGCGGTCCTCAAAGTGTTCCAAACATTCCAACAAAGCGGTCAACAACACTACGGCTACCATAGCCTCGCCTTTACGATGCTGTTTGTTCACGATGGTATCACTGCAATTTGCGGTTTACTGATACATTTATACATGCATTTTTATTCACTATAAATGGAATTCCTTTTCCCACTCATGCTACCATTGACAGCTGAACATTATATCTCTATTTTCTGCACTAAATATACCAATGTTTTGCCACTCTCTCATGTATAAGTGCTCTGCTTGCCTATAATTACCCAGATAGGACAAATTCAGTTTTTTTCTATAAAATATAATACAAACAACGAAGAAAACTTTCTCACATTAGCATTACCAAAGGTTTTTGTCAACTCACTGTGCTTATGATCTAGAGCAAGTGGCATGCGTATTTCTGACATCTGAGCTACGATCTTGTCTGAAGTCTGATTCAGACAATGTAGTACAAAACAGTAAATTTGATCGTTTCCAAGTAAAAGTGAACCAGTGTCCCTGTGGTCTGAGGGGGAGGGATGCGAACCAGCCTTCTCAAACCACTGTTTTGGTTGAAGTAAAAAAAAAAAGTGCTGTCCTTTTTGCTTGCTAACGTTAGCAGGGCTAACAAACTGATAAATCTCACCACATACCTGTACATTGCTACTGCTACAGAGCGGTAAGTAAACATGTCAGGCCCTGTCAAATGTAAACAGCACGACCTGCTTGCTTCAGCGTAAAGAGCTTATGCATCTGCCGTCTCACAGTGGGCTAGCCCGTTAGCTCTGCTTTCCTGACGCTAGCACACTCACCATCGACAGGCCTCCTGATCCTCTTCCTCTTTTTCTTCTTATTCTTCGTAAACCGCAAGTCGGTTGCGCTGCATTGCTTAAGTACGAACGGTTAACCCCCGTATTCACTCTCAGCTAATGCTATTGTGAACGGAGACACGAGACGTGCAAGGAAGTCTACGCCTCGACCCGCCTCTATCAGCCTTCCGCTGCAAATGAGTCCGGGCGGTGGTCTGCTCAGTCTCGCCCCTGGGCGAGCCCCAACCCCGGTCGATGACGCCGATCTGATCAGCCTGACAGCCCAAGAGTGCTGCACCTAAAGTTGGTGAGCCTCTCACACGACGCAGTGCCAATAGATTTGACAACTGTAGTGTCTGAGTGGCTTAGTAAAAAAAATAAAAATAAAAAAATAGCTCTACAGTACAATACTTTTAAAACTCTATAGTTAGGGAACAGAATTATTAAACTTGTTTTAACAACAATTTCTGACATAATGTAAACCACTGTTATACAAAGAATATCGCAAAAAAATATTCTTTTTAAAATGATTTTTATTCTTATTAGTCACTTTCTGTTTTGTATTTTGTTTTTCTGGCCACGCCCACTCGCCAGGATGCTCCTAACATAACTGCATCACACTGTACATACTGTAGTATCGTACCAACAGCCTTAAGGTATTATCATATTTTCGGTATTTTTTCGAGTTCAACCAGTTCGCATTCTGACGTAACTCAGTTACGGAAAATGTTTAGCATGTTTAGCAACTTCTTCAGACTCCATTAAGATTCTGTTTTTTTCACTGTAATACATCACCTAAGTCCCGGTGAGAATAAAATAGAATAGAATAAAATATTTAGCTATAAGAGAGAATATTCTTCTATATTTTATGAAGTAGTTTTCATTGTGCTCTTAGAAAAACATTCTGTTGAGGAAAGCGTCAGCTGAGTAGGTGTGGGTTTAAAGTCCTGGTTATCTGAGTGGTGTCAGAGGTGATTAGAGATCACGATTGGTGCAGCTGGGTCTCTGCAACTACTGCCAGCATTACAGGTTGTTTCTGTGAGTGCTGTTTTTCTCCTCACATCAAGATTTTATTTCTCAGACACTGAAAAATGTTTTTGTTTTTTTTTTTGCGTAGGTAATGCTATTTGTTAGCACCATAAGAGTACAGTAGTAACTGCTGAAGGCAGGACAAAGTACTGCAGCAAATAGAGGGAATCCACCTTCGTACTGTACCTTATTTTCCTAGTTAGTCATGGAACTAGAATGGCCTTCAAATACCAAGTGTGACACTATCCTATTTTTTTGCATAGTAAATCTAGTCCAGGTGCTAAAAGAACCCGTTTCATCACGGCACTATTGGCTGTATAAAGTAAAAAACCTAAAGTGAAAAGAACATTTAACCCACATAGATTTTTCAGAATCTCTCAATTACCAGCAGCAGACAGACGTTTGTTTTGCTTTGTAGATTACCTCACCACTCACATCAAAGGCCACAGATACAACCTGCAGTTTGACATCGTGGCCAGGATTCCACTTTTGCAAGCTGCAGGTCAAAGTGCACGGAAATATTCATGGGCTATGACTGTCTGTTAGCACGTAGCATCGTCTTCATCAGGGCGTCAAACACAAGTGAGTTCAGGGTCACAGTGACCCCCATCATTTCATTAGAGGGTCTCATTACAGACAGTCCATGATTGCTGATGTGACACTATAAAACCAAACCACCACCAACAACGTTTTTTTTATTTACCAGCTAAAAGGTTAAAACTAGGGCTGTGCAATTATATCAACAAACCGATGTTATCGGTTTGAGATTAGCATAATTAGGTAATATCTTTAAGAATCGTTATTGTTTTTTCCTCCAATAATGAATACCCGATAACGCAATGCCTGGGTTTTGCCAAATGAAGTGTGACCTGAAAATTGTTTTTGGGAAAAACGGCTGTATGTGATAGTAAAAGCCACTAGATGTCAGCCATGGCTTTAACCCATTCCCTTAGTGAGAAGGTGGCACTTTCTTAACCATCAGGCCACCACTGGCCTGCTATATTAGTATCGGTTGATAATGGAATTGGAAATTACGTGTTTGGACAAAATCGACGTATCGGATATTGGCTAAAAGTTAATATCGGACATTCCTATTACAAACTCAATATGGTACAACAATCATTTCCATCATCCAAATCCAGATACTGTGGTTGTACAGGCCTATCGCTGCTGTCCAGGTTCAGTAAAGTCCAGGTTCATTCCAGACAGGAGCTCCCCTCCACAGGAGCGTTTCAGCAGCTCCTTCAGTGCTTCGTTGACGTCGTTATTGATGACCGTGCAGAAGTTGGGATATCCGCTTACACCTCCGTCCATCGGAAATGACGCCATCACCTCCTGCACCCACTTCAGCTCTTCACTCAGCTCCTGTTGCAGGAGGTCAAAGTTGCTCATCCTCTCCTTGTATCGGCTGCAGACGGAGTTCAAGCTGTGGCCGAAGGCCTGAATGTCGTCCTGCAGGCTCCTCTTCAGCGCTTCAACTTTCCGGAACTCGTAGCGGATTTGAGAGAGTTCCTGGCGCACACCCTCGCTCTCCTCCTTGTACCAGGCTTCCTTGTCGTTGTATATAGAGACCATGGCGTCAATGTCTTCCTGCAGGGAGTCGTGCGCTGCTGCCAAATTGACAAACGAGCTCTCCATCTGGTCAATGTCCTCCACCACTTGTGCAAAGCGTTCAAAGTTTACATAGGTGTTGTTTGGAGGCATGCTGGAGTGGGACTTGATAGTATATTCTCTCAGGCGCTTGGTCTTCAGCTGCCGTCGCTCCCTCTTCTTTGGCTCCTGGGTTTTATTTTCCTCCTTATGTTCATTCAACTACAGAAAATATCATTTTTTTTAAATTTCAAAATAAGGACATTAAATGATCACATTGAATGGGGCATAACGAATACAACATTGTCCTTCTCTGAAGTGTGGTCCTGGGTTGAACCAAACATCCTTTTTTTATCCTTTACATTTTACAGCAGGGGCATCAAACATATGGCCTGCAGGCCAAAACTGGCCCACTAGGTTGTTTTATCTGGCCTGCTTGATGGATTTTGAGAATAAAAAAAATACACAAACACTTCATGTTCAGGATATTTTTGTAAAATTCTATTTCATTAAATGTGAATAATTAATAATAAATATCTAAAAAAACAAAAAACATATATAAGTCGCACTAGCCAGCTATAGTGCCGTAGAAGCTGTCAATGTGAAAATAACAAACGTGAAAATTTTCAGTGGTACAGGAGTAGCATATACTGGTACACACGCCTAGAGTGCCCTCCAGTGGCTTACCTTTATCCACGGGTGATTCAGAGCCTCTTGAATGCTTAATCTTTTCCTGTACAGAAAAACCAATCATTTACTGAGCAGACACAGACAGAATTAAACCACAGACTGATTTGATTTTCTTAAATGTTTGTATTTCTTTACCTCTTGTCCTTCTCGAGCAGCTGACTGATGAACCTTTTGGCCAGGTCGCTGGTGTGACAGAACAATTCTTCGTCAAATTCGTAATTGACATCAGAGATGTTCTCCAGAGTGTCTTGTTTGGTTTCACCCAGAAACGGCGAGGCGCCACTGAGCCTGTGAAGAAGGAAGAAGACACACCAAGACGCTCCGATCATCTCGTTTTCTTCTAGAACTAAGACTAGAATCATTCAGGACTAACATTAGTACGTATGTAATGTCTGTGTTGTAGTTACAGGATGTACGTGATGACTCCGATGCTCCACATGTCCGCTTCTAGTCCCAGGGGCTCGTAGTTGACAATCTCTGGAGCTAGAGTGAAAGTAAGGACGCTGTTAGTGGACATAGAACTGACACATGCAGAGTTATAGAACGGAGTGACTGAGTTAGCTTTTAATATCTGACCATGCTGATTTAATTAGTTTTCCTTGTGAAGTCCATCATTTTAATCCCTGTGTTTTTTCTGCTTAACTAAATTTAAAATACAATAAAAAAAGTTATTATTTGGGCCAACAGTGACACCTACAACAGTCGTTGTGTCATTAGCCAGTCATACAGCCGTAAATTCTTGCCCTGACCTAACCCTCAACAGGACAGTCATTACAGTGGAGTTTGACCTGATCAATTATCACAACCAATGTGATGACATTCGCAGGAAATATAGGTACACAGATGTTGTGAAACGCTGAAAGGAGGCCGACAAGTTTTAAACATGCAAGCTAACGTTAGCTACAACAGTCCTGGTACAAACTCCAGAGCTAATATGGTTTCTGTTGTTGAAGGGTTTCAGGTGACCCAGATCTGGACTCATCCACCCAGGACAACAGTGAAGCCCATCTCACCTACAAACTCCGGTGTCCCAAAGATGTTTTTGAACTCAACTCCAGCTTCGATCTTGTGAGCCAAACCAAAGTCTATGAGTTTGATTCTGGGCAGTGAAACATTCTTGTCCAGCAGCATAATATTTTCAGGCTGCAGGAAGCAAAAAAACGTATTTGAGATAATTTGTGCATATCCTACTGCATATAGTACTGCATAGTACTATACCTGTGAAATCTAATGGTGTTGCAACATTCCGGTTGAAGACAAACCTTAAGGTCAAAATGGGCAATTTTCCTGGCGTGCAGGTAGTTGACCCCTTCAAGTATCTGTTTGATAAACTGCGTGGCCTCCTCCTCACTCAGTGACTCCTTCTGGGCCAGGAAGTCAAACAGCTCACCACCAGAAACCCTGGAGCAAACACAGAAATCATCCAATCAGAGAGTCAGCCTGGGGCTGTAAATGTATGGATGTCCGTGCGTTGTTATAGTTACTAATAACAGTTTGTCCTGAATGTTAATGACTGTGTACATCTGCTGTGTGTGTTACACGTGACGGAAAGTTATTGAGAACCACTGGAGTGGACACACATGTTGGTGTGCGTTGACTGTGACGTCTCCGCTCACTCACAGCTCCAGGATCAGAACCACGTCCGTGCGGTTCTCATACACGTCGTGTAACCTGACGATGTTGGCGTGCTGCAGCTGCTGCAGGATGTTCACCTCGCGCTCGATTTCTTCCAGCCGCACGCCACGGGAGCTGGCCATACTCTGACGCTTCTTGATGAACTTGGCGGCAAAATGCACACCTGTGTGTTTCTCCGTACATTGTTTGACTATAGCAAACTGACCGCTGTGGACGAGAGAGAGAGAGAGAACAGTTGATGAGAGAACACTGATGTCCCCACTGCTGAGAACACACAGTCGGTTCATGCAGACATTAGGGCCAGTGTGCTACACTCGGTGCTGCTGCTGTGATGCTGAACATGTTTACTTCCTCTGAGGCAACATTCTCAGGCTGTTATTGTAAATCAATAAAATGATATTAAGACGAAGAAGACATATTTTCAAACTCTGTGACTCTGTGGTTACAGATAACTGTGGGCTTTAGATTGAAATGTTTGGATTGATTTGAGATCTGCGTTAACCTGTGTAAAGCCAGACATTATCCGTGTGCGTGTGTGTTATTTCTGGTGGGAAAGCGTCTGCTCTACAGATTCTACGACACCACAAACACATTCAGGTCTAAATATAGAGTCTTGAAAAAAGCAGCTGGACGGTTGCACCACCTCACACAGGCATTGACACACACTTTATTTTCAAACGTTGCTTTACTTCACTCCTCATGTAACCTTTCATCTGTATTCAGCTCTTTGTTTTATCCAATGCTACAAACAATCACCTAATTATTCTTTTTGGTTTGATATACAGTCCTGTCAGCAAAACAGATAAAATCAGGTTTTTATATGTGAACTTTGCAGTAACATAAAATAAAAATAGAAAAAAAGTGACAGTAAATCAGATCCATACCTCCCCAACTCTTCACCAATTTCATAGAAATCCTCCACTCTCTGCTGTTTGAATAGGTCCATGTGTGCTGCTGTCTGTTGACCTGCAACAGCAACAGGGTCAGTGTCAGAAACACCTTCACACTGTCAGTCCAAACACTTCAGAACTGGTTATGGACGTGATAATAAAGGTCAGAGTGTTAAACACAAAGACAGACTAACAGATATTTTACCAAACGTTTCCATGTGCCTCCACTGCTGCTGCTGGTCCTGTGTGTCTCTGTGATCCACAACAGCAGAAGTGTCATGTGTCCCAACAAATCAACCTCAGCAGGAGTCACTGCAGCACAG